TATTATTATTATTATTATTATTATTATTATTATTATTATTATTATTATTATTATTATTATTATTATTATTATTATTATTATTATTATTATTATTATTATTATTATTATTATTATTATTATTATTATTATTATTATTATTATTATTATTATTATTATTATTATTATTATTATTATTATTATTATTATTATTATTATTAATATTTTTAAACGCATATGAATCAACATATTTATGATTTATCAAATGCCTATCAAATTGAGCGAAATGTTTGGATAAACATTATCATTATCACTGCTATTTATTATCAGTGTTATTACTAATCACTGTTTTTATTATAATTGTTATGCATACATCATATTTATAATTTACCAATGCTTATTAAATTGAGTTACGAAATATTTGTACAAACATTATCATTATTTCTGTTATTTATTATCAGTACTAGTATTCTTATTATTTTTTATCATATATTATTAATTATTATTTTCATCTTCTATTTTTACCATAATTATAATTTTTGCCATAATTGTCACACAAATGAAATCATCATATTTATGATTTATCAAATGCATATTAAATTGATTTATGAAATATTTGGATAAATTGAATTATTTCATTGTAAAAACTAAACTTACCGTATTGAATAGTAAATGACAAAAAAAAAAAAATCCGTAAATAATCTAAATGTTGTTTTTTTTGGAACAATTTCAGGTTGAATTAGCAGCTCGAAAAGAGCAAACTGTACCGGATACATGGGGCGTTGAAAAAAATGGTTGCATTAGCAATGATCCGAAGAAAATACTTGATGGTGGTGGTCTTTTACCTCTTGGTGGAAGTGAATTAACAGGTATATTACCCTTATAATAGCGTGGAATTTTTTCGAGAAATTCTTTATTTATTGTAAATAATTTACCCATATAATCAGATATTTAAGTATTAATTATTGATTTATTTAGTAATTTATGAAGTATAATACCACGAAGAGTTTGTTTTTTTTTTTAATTTTTAAATTATTGCATAATTACTCGTTTACATTTATTAATAAACACTAATTTATTTATTTATAACAAATTAGCAAAATTGTGATAATAAAAAAAAAAAGATTTTCCTGTTTTTTTTTTTTCTAAATCATTAATTAGTAAATTTTTTCGTTTACCAGAGATATATTTTTATTTTTATAAAATCATTAAGTCATTAATTAGCAAACTTTTTTTTTCTGCTAGAAATAATATTTTTTATTTAAAAAAAAAGAAATGAATTCTATTTCAGGTGGTTATAAAGGATATGGTCTTGGTGCATTAGTGGAAATTATTTGTGGTATACTTGGTGGTGCGCAATGGGGACCAAGTATACGAAAATGGATGTCAACAACAACTATTGCTAATTTAGTAGGAAGAAATTTTGATATGAATCAAAATTTTTTTCACTGTTTTTTAAGTTTTCAATAAATAAATTTATTACTGAAATTAATTTTTGAAATTAAAATTATAAATATTCCTAATAAAATATATATATATGTTAATATATTTTTTTTCTCTTTTAGGGACAATGTTTTGTTGCTATTAATCCGGATGGATTTGCGCCAAATTTTGAAAATCGTTTACAAGAATTTATTGATACAATGCGAGGATTGAAATCAGTTTAATTTTAATTAATACGATAATAATTTGCTAGAAAATTATCTTAAAATTTCCTATTTCTATCATAGTTTTTATTTTTTCATAGTTTTAATTTGATAATTTACAAAAAAAAAAAAAACCTTTTATCTATCTGTTTAAATTTGATAATTTTTTTTTAAGAAGAAAATTTTTTTGAAAAGAAATACTCATGTGGTAGCATAGGAAAGGACATAAAATTATAAAATTATTTTATCAAATATGCAAATTATGTCAAAAATGTATAGCAATAAAACCTACAAAATCTTTAATTAAAAAGCTATTAATCTTTTCAAAATAGTACTTTTTCTTGAAATTTTTGATTTCTTAATTTTTTCGATCTCTAATATTAAAAAAAAAAATTTGTTAACTGATTAATTTTACTTTATTGGTAATTTTAATTAGTTCAAAAAAAAAAAATCGCCCATCAATCCATTACAATTTGCAGGAAAAAAAAGGTTTACTTTTACTGAAAGAGTGTTCATTTTTCCATCGTTATACCATAACTTGTAATTAATAAGATTAATTAACCTTTAACCATTTTGCTATTTGTTAAAAACAAAAGAAAAAAAAACAAAGACTGAAGAAGTTCATAAATTATTTACCTAATATTTGGTAACTTAAGAAATTTTTTTAACAAAAAAAAAAAAAACCTTAAACAGAATTGATAACAAGCAAGTATTAGTAGCTGGTGATCCAGAAAAAGAACATATAGCATTGGTAGAGAAATACGGTGGTATACCATATCATCC